ATCGGGCCCCAGAAAGGGCGGAGGGGTTGGGCCCCCGAGGGGCAGGAACGGATGGAAGTAAGGTAGTGGACGAGCCAAGGAGGGGCGCCCCAAGTGGGGCCGGGGAAGGCAAGAAAAGCCTACCCGGCAACGGACAGGCAAGGGGCGAGTCCTGCAGTAAGGTAGGCAACCGTTAGAGAGGACCGGAGAGACGGATGCGCGGAGAGAGGGGCGCGCACCGGGTAGGCAGAAGACCCAGTCGGATGAGGAGGATTCGCATAGACGAGGCGTAACAACGGCGAAGGAGGTCGCCGCTTCTGTGGAGAAGCAGAGGCTGGGTGGAGGCGAAGGTGAATGGCAAAGTAGCGACGAGCGAAGTTACCTGTGGCACGAGTCGAACTAGAGGCAACGCGGCGGAGTCTTGGGAACGAGGTAGAAAATATGAATGGTAGGTAAGAGAGTCGGCCTGAGGCTGGAGGCTTACGTTTTCTGCTGTCGATGACTGCATTAGGTTATTTTCGTACTCTCTACTCGATTGCCGTGCGAGCGGCCCACCCGCCCTCCCACTAACAGCCAAATGGCTGATCGGAGTTGTCTTTGAAGGGTTTGGGTACCGCGGGAGTGTGGTCGCAGACGCAATGGCCTTCCCCACAATAAGTTAGTAGTGAGTACGGATCACGCGATGACGTTTAAGCAATGTCCAGCGGAAGGCCCGATACGGGGTCCTGCACCTGGTAAATACGCCGGCCCTGCAGCAGACACCATGAAAAGAAATACGCTTATTATACCACTTATTATGTTTTCCTAAATTAAATCATCATTTTTTTCCTCTCAGTTCTTTCCTTAGAGTTAAAGAGGATGGGATTTTACACCAGGAAAACGTCATAACTTATCAGCCCTGTTGCGCTGTTGGCTTTACTGAATAAATCGTTCAAAGACAAACAAACCAAACAAAGTCACCACACCAGGGTTAAGAAAGCCTAGGAGAGGTAAGACGCGGCCCATGCGCAGCAAAATGGCCTCAGCGGCCAAAGGCCGCACGCAGAGTCCATCCGCCACAACGCCGTCAGCGACTTCCCACTACGGCCGCAACCGGGTCCCGCCTCAACGACCTGGGGGCTCCACGAGGTTCCGTGCGGCGTTAGGGAGGAGCACAGAGCCCAGCCGCGAAGACATCCATCGCACTCCTCCCCCCATGCCTCTCCCCATCCCTCCCCGCTCCCACCCCTCCCCACACCAACATCACAACACTCGCCCACCCGGCGCATCGGTCTCATTTCCTCAGGAAGGCTACGCAAATAGTCCATTGCCATTCAAGAGCTCACCAAGCTGTGCTCCAGCCAGCCGTACAGCGGCGGAGTGTGGAGGCGGCGGCGGTAGTTTACGACTCGCTCGTTCCACCAAGACAGTCCCCCCCCGGGATCGTGGCCGCCGCCAGACGTGCCCCTGGCAGCGGCGGCGGAGGCGGCGGCGGCATGACCCACGGGACGATCTGGAGTTGACTGCTCGTTTGCACTGGTCTGAGCCGCCGCTACTGCCGCTACTGCTGCGCCGGTAAGCGAGCCGTCGGGGTGCCTCGCGACCCCGTTGTCCGCAACCGTAATAACCACTTCCGTCGTCGCCGGTACCGACACCTCGTGGGGTGTAGAGGAGGCCTTGACGGCACTGGTAAGGACGTCAGCGAGGGGTGCCATACCACCCGCGCTGGCGTCGCCGCTGCCAGAGGCGGACTCCGCCGTCATCTCCAGTTGAGCTGGCTGCGGCTGGGGCTGGGGCGCCTGAAGGCGTGACATGTTCCGCCTAGGCCGTTGGACATGCCGTGGCTCTGTGGCTGGATGCTGAGGAGACGGTGGTGGCGGTGGCGGTGGCGGTGATGGGGCCGGCGGCGGTGGAGCCTGTGGTGGGAAAGGGAGCTGCACATCGTACTGCGGCTGTGGCGGCGGCGGCTGAGGCTCTGATGGTGAAGTGCCAACTTCAGACCCCGCCGCAGCTGCCGGGAATGGCGCAGCAGCGGCACCACCGGGAAGGCGGTCGCGGGGACGTGCAGTCGACCACTCCGTCCGGCTTGCAGTGGCGGATGCCGCCAAGGCAGTGGAGGCTTTGGCCCCGCACTGCTGATGACGCTCTTGAGTCTGGTGCTGCCGTTGCTGCTGCTGCTGCGATGGCAGCGGCGGCTCTCCGCCATGGGTGCCATGCTCGCCGTCGAGTACGGCAGGCACGCCACACTTCGAAGCCTTACTCAGAATTTGTCGCCGTAATTTCTGTTGTTGTTGTAGTTGTTGTTGCTGCTGTTGTGGGGTACTGCACACAGCCGTGTGTGGGCACGACGGATGTTGAAAGCCGTACCGCTGCTGGCCTAGAGTGGCGGTCGCTGCCTCAGGGTTGTACGGCGGTAGTTGCGGCGGTTTGTCCAACTGTGGCCGCGGTTGCGCCGACAACGACTCTGGCACCAGTAACAAGGGATTGCTGCACTTACTAACACTATTGTTATTGTTATTGTTATTGTTATTGTTATTGTTATTTCTGTTATGTGGTGCAGGTATCCTCTCCCAACGAACCAGCTCAACCGCACCGTCGTACACCATAGCGGCGGCCGACATGGTGCGTGCGTGTACGGCAGCTGCTGCGGACGCCGCCAGCGAGGGCACGACGGCGCCTGCTTCCGCTATTGCCGCGCCGGCACTAGTAAACGGCCTTGCCAGCGCGTTGACGATTTCCTGCGGTTGGCACATCCCACATACATACACAGGCAGGCGGCTGGCAGAGGTTAAGGCCTGACTTCTGCTCCCAGTTGACCCAGTCGACCCGGGTTCAAATCCGCCTGCCGGCTCCTCGGGTGTTTGAGGAGTGATGAAATGGGAGGTGGCCCCCCATCTTATGGACGGTGTAGGACGTGATAATATCAACTTGCGAGCTGACCAGGAACTAAGTTGATGCGCCGTTGATCCGCTAGATTTGGTTGGATGCTGGTGGTGAGTTGCCGAACTCAACGAATACATTCTGAAGTCGGATGGGGTGACGGATTAGGGTGCCCCTCTAGCAGGGGAGAGCAGGGACTGCCCCGGGAAAGGGGGCCGCTGGCGAAGTTAACCACCCTGTAACAACATACATACACACACATACACGCATATACACGCATACATACATTTATATTTATATTCGTACACGCATAGACGCATAGACGCATCACGTCGAGAGTTGAAGTAAACTAGCAAGAACACGTAAAACAAGTCGCGAGGGTTACGGAAACGTTATACCCCACCCATCTGGCCGCTCACAGCTTCGCGGGGTTTAGGGGTTTAGGGGTTTCCACTTTTAAGTAACGGCTGCAACTTCTAAACAAGGCAAACTACACAGCTACAGCTGCAACAACCGACGCAGGAGAAGAGGAGCTCCGCCAAACCCAAACCGCCACCTACCGACAGCGCAAGTGCCCCGTCTGCCGTATCGCCGTACAGTGTCACATGAGGACACAGCGCCCGCAGCCGCGGGCCCATATCTTCCACAAAGCGACGGAGCCCAAAGTCCGGGTTGCAAATCGTCACGGTACGAAGCTTCATGCGCGGCCGCGGCCGCGGCGGCGCGCCTCCGCCACCTTCACCTCTGTCGCCGCCGTCACCTCCGTCACCCCCCAGTATGGCCTCCAAATGCGGCAATGCGTTGTTCAGAACCCTAGTTCCCATGCTGTGCACCAGGAGGTGCAGGCCCGCGAAGCCGTCAGCCGCCAGGGCCCTCACCGTGGCCGCCAGTGCGAGACCCGTCTCGGGAGGCTCCGCGCCGCGGTAACGAGCCTGCAGAGGGGGCCACCAGAGACCACAACCATAATAGCCGCAAACCGGGCGTGTGCCGTACCAAGGAAAGGGTGACCTCAGCATGATGCGCCTGACGTGTACAAAATAGCTCACAGCCGTGACCTCGGGATGCTAAGTGTGAAGTGAAAACCAGGATGTGCACTGTACGGCGTGATCCAGGCGTAATTAAAGAAAAAACAGTGTGTAGCCGTGTGCCAGGATGTGTGTATGTATGTATGTATGTTTGTTTGTTTGTTTCCAACCATTACCAATCATATCTTTTTTAAGTTCGGGGCTTGGAAGCCTTGCGGCCTTGCCGTACCACAGTATACTGCAGTACAACGGCGTTCGCCCTGCATGTGTAGATGTCTGGTGGCAGGGTCTGTGCGGCTCCGGGCCAGGCAGGGCCCAGCCGGCTGCCGCGGGTACCAGAGGGGCCAGCTGCGGTCAGCCCGGTGGCATCCATCCGACCTCACTTCCACTTCCAAACCCCACCCAGGCTAACATCCAGCATGGTAATGGGGAGAGGGGGAGAGGGGGGTGAGGGGATGTGGGGATAGGGGGGATAGGGGGATAGGGGATGAGGGGATGACGGGATATGGGGATGATGCTTGAGGAACACGACCCGCACAGGACTGCTCCAGACCCCCCACACACACACCCACACAGAAATACGCGACGGGGACGGAGGACGGCCAGGAGAATACCACCGGCGTGATGTACGGCGGGAAGCCAATCAGCGCCATCATCTGTGCGTAGTGGCGCAGGGCCTTGTGCATGTCCACTCCCAAGCCGTGTACGAACAACAGCGCCTCAGGCGGCCTGGGAGGGGGGGAAAGGCGAACCACGAACGAGTGAAGCTGCTGCCAAGGAAAAAGTGTACCAGAAGCAGAACTTGAAGGCGGCCTGGGGGGGGGTTCGAGGGCCAACTGCTAACGGTCACGTCCAAAGCATACAAGCTATTGGCCTGGGCCCGAGCCTGGGGGGGGCTCTCCCAGTTAGAGGAGTGCGGCCCCAAGCCTCCACGGAAACCACGCGATACCCTAGGAAATTCACGAGAAGAGAAAGCCCGAGCCTGCTATCGGTACGGAGCCCAGCGCCCCCAAGCACACGAACAAGATGGCAAGCAGCTAAAGCGTTTTGTCGCCGGACGCCCGGAAGAAGCGCCCGCCCGTCTGTATGTTTATATGTATCTATGAGTTCCATACAGCTGTGCAAGAGGACGTCAGCGTGGGTTTAGGATCGGAGGAGAAACGTTTCCTCTCTCTCACACACACACACACATACACACACACACACACACACACACACACACGCACACACACGCACACACGCACACACACACGCACACACGCACACGCACACACACACACAACACACACACGCAGGTCTCACTGGTCAAAGCTAAACATCAGCGGAGGCTGCGAGGAGGCCTGGCGCTGGATCTTGTCCATCTCTCCCAGAGCTGCCGCCACCCCCGAAGTGCCCGCCGCCGCAGCCGCCGCAGTCGCTGCCAGCCGTCGTACCGGCTCGCGGTACATGCCAGGCGTCCCCGCAGCCCGTCCGGGGCCCAGCCTTACCGATTCCAATCTGAGTCGCAACCTTGACCCACGGGTCGCCGTGCTTTGGTTCCCTTCCATGCAGCTATACGCGCCCCGGCTGCTGACGGCAGCGGCGGTCGCGCCGTCAGGTCGCGTCCTGCCGGCGGCGACGTCACCGCTCTGACCCGTCGCAACAACGGGCTGCGCGGAACGGATGAAGCTCAGGAGGGCCCTATGATGCACAGGACCGCCGGGACCGTCAGCAAACGCCGGTGCCGCCGCTGCGGTGCTCGACGGCGCCGCCGGGTTCACCGTCTGCATCTGACGGAGGCGACCAACTAGGGACAGCCGCCCGTCTCTAACCCCTCCCGACGGCGTCGCCAAGCCGGATCCCATCCGCGCCGCCGCCGACCGCACCCGAAGCCTCATCCGTACAGAGCTGCTCCTCGGCGACGCTGCCGCCGGCGCAACCTCTGCCGCCATGGCCTCAGTGACCCCGGGTGCATTGCGGAGTTCTCGGGAGCGAGTACCAGAGCCCCAGCCCGGGCCCCACTGCCTTCTTGGGCCCCAGGGCCTTATTCCGGCCATGTCCCAGCTGCCGCCCTGCCCGCCGTCGACCCTGCCGCCGGGCCCCGCCGTGCCCGCCGCCGGCCTGGCCGCCTTGGCCGCACCTTCACGTGCTCTGTCGCGATTGTGGCCGTGTTTCGTGGATGTCTTCTGCGAGGGTTGTAGCGGCATCAGCATGCTCACCAGACGCGGCACGTGGCCAAGGCCGGTTACGAGTGAAGCAGTCGGAGCCGAAGCCGGTGGCGGCGGCGATGACGCCATGGAAGACGTCGGAACCGAGCAAGCACCGCCACCGCCATTACAGCCACAGCCACCTGGATGCCGCAACGACGGCGCACGCAGCGCCCTCTCCGCTTCGATGAGCCCGTTCAGGTTCCTCGAGCCATGGGCTCTCTCCCGCGAAGCGACGCCGGTGCCGAAATCGCCTCCGCCTCTCTCCCTGGTATCGCCGCCGCTGACGCGCCGTGGTACGACCGTCATTAACTGGCTCAGGGGAGTCAAGGTTCGCATCAGTCTGCCGATGCGCGCTGCCGCCGCCAGCGGCGCCGGGCTACCGCCAGCACCAGTGCCCGTTAAGCCCGTACTAGTCCGGGTGGCGGCGGCGGCTGCCGCCTTGGTGGTGCGCGAGTCCACGGAGGCGGCTACTGCCGGGGCAGCTACAGCCGCGCGTATCGCGCTGTCCAAACTCAGGCTAGGTGGTAGCTGCTCCGTCATGGCGGCGAAATAACTACCAGGAGGCAGTGCCCCTAATGCGGGCGCTGTAGCAACAGAGGTTGATGCTACTGCTTCTGCTGCTGTTGCTGCTGTTACTGTGGTGGCGGTGGCGGTGGCGGGGCCGCATGCCGCGGAAATGGCATTTTGGAGTGTAAGGTCCTGGCCTGGCGTGCTGCTGCTGCTGCTGCTGTTGCTGTTGCTGTGTAAGGGCAGTACTTGCTGGGGATGAGGGGCGGGATCATTCATGGCGCCAGCGGTATGATGACGCCGTGGCAGCACCGTCCGCTCATGTTCGCCTGTTCGGCTGTCGGGGAAGTGGACTCCGACATTGCCATTACCGACCGCGGCAGCTGTAGCAGCAGCTGCGAGGGCAGCCGCCTCGCCGTCGTGCCGCTTCAAGATGCCGACGCAAGCAGGGGCAGCGGCTGCGCCGCTGCCGCTGGATCGAACCCTCTCCGTTTCCGCCGTCATGCCTCTGCCGTCGCCGCCGCCGCTGCCGCTGCCGCCGCCAGCCGCGCCCGTGGCTGCATGCCGCATGCCTGGCATCCCCGTCGGGACGGTCAGCGACCGCACCGGGCGGTGCACCGCGGCGGGCGCCACGCGGCCCTCCTCAATCGCCGCGTCCTCCTCCGCAATAAGCCCCTCCGCTATGTCCACTGGCGGCAGCAGCTCCCGCACTCGCGGCAGGGACTTGAACCAGGCCCCGGATGTGGACACCTCACAGGCCACGATACCGAACTGGAGCTGCGGGGCTCGGGGGGATGTGCATACATACACGCATACACACATACACAGACAGACAGACAGACAGACAGACAGACAGACAGACAGACAGACAGACAGACAGACAGACAGACAGACAGACAGACAGACAGACAGACAGACAGACAGACAGACAGACAGACAGACATATATAAGAGCATATATGTTTTAAGAACAGCGGAGCACAGCGAAGCGGGAGAGACGACCCTCAAAAATCGTAAAATCTATCTAAAATCGCAAGCCTATGCCCAGCCCTACCGGCTTCAGTCGCGGCAGGCACGCCGCCTTGCGCAGCGCCTCTCCTCGATTTCGGAAGTAGGCGATGCGCAGGTTCACAAAGCCCGAGGCGGACCCTGTCTCCCGGCTGCGGAATGGGCCGGTGGGCAGCCCGCCGTGCCAGAACCCCGTCAGGTGCTCCCCGTGCCAGTGTGTGTCGCGCCACTCGCCGTAGCCGCTGGGGTGGCCACCCGCGTCCAGCTCCCCCACGTAGGTGATGGACTCGTAGTGGCCCAAGAAGGGGGCCCACCTGAGGGGGGTGTGAGGATGTGTGAGGCGGTGTGAGGAGGTGTGAGGAGGTGTGAGGTGGTGTGAGGAGGTGTTGAGGGGAAGCCCATCTCGTCAGCCACCCCGGGAGAAAGCGCATCAGCAGAGGCATCCGGAAATGACGTACAGCCAACCTAACAGCTCTCCATAGGCGGCCATCTTTTTTCCAACGATGTTCCCTCTAAACAACCGACCAGTTCAATACACCCGATCATCTGCAGCCTCTGAAAAAACGTAAACGGCCCCCTCATCCCAGCTTATCACGGCACGGCACTGCCTCACTAAACCCAGCCGTAAAAGTTTAAAAATCGCTGTGACTTCACTTTACCAGGGAGAGATGTAGCGGATGTAGCAAGCCGCCACACGCCTGTCGGGTGTCGGGCTGTAGCCGGGCGGGAAGTCGATGAGCGACGCCACGGCGGCCGGGTCCAGTAGATCTCGTCGTTCCGTAATCTTGCAGCGCACTAACAGCCAGTTGTGCCGCACCATCAGCGGCATGATGCGGCGCATGGTTGACAGCACCGCCATGTGCAGCAGGGCCATCCACACGAAGATCTGGACGCGGAGGACGCCGGCGGGGTATGCGGAGAGGATAAATAGTTGGTGGCGCTGTGGGGGTGTACGTGGGGCGACGGGAAGGAGGTACGGTCTCCTCTCGGATTTGCAGGCTGGGCTTTTATAAGACCTCACGGTTTTAACATCTAATCCAGTCGTGATTACGGAGTCTTAGGTCTGCTGCGAACGGAGGTAGGAGAGGAGGTAGGAGAGGAGGTAGGAGAGGGGGTAGGAGAGGGGGTAGGAGCGGAGACGGACCTGAGGCAGTGACTCCCCAATCCTGTCCCCTGCGCCTCACCTGCATGACCAAGTCCTGAGTAAGAAAGAAACTCCCACTGCTTGCCGTATGATCGCCCAGGTCCTCTAAAGCTGGTGCATGTGTACGACGACTGAGTACGATTCCAAACAGCGCCACACAGGTGATGCCCAATACCTGCGCCGCCGGACAGGTTACGTTGCCTACATAATAAGCACAAGTAAACAAGACAGGTATATGCGCGATGGAGAGATGGCAACCGCCCCGTCACATGCGACGTACGGTAATTACAACCACCACCGTAACCACCAGCACTACTATTACCGAAACTCCTGGTTGTGTGGCTACCATAACCGTACCATAACCACCGCAACCTCCGTGTCACATCTTCGCCACGCCATCAGTCTGCGAAGCACTGAACCTCAAGAGATGTTTGTGTGAGCCACCCCATGACGGCCAGCAGTCAGTCTGTCTGTCTGTCTGTCTGTCTGTCTGTCTGTTCACCACCGCCACTGACCTGTAAGAATGGGTCGTATCTGTTGATGTGTACGGAAACAAGAATGACGACCAGCATCATGACCACGTACATTATGACGTTAACGGCGACCGCGCTGGCCGAGCTCGGCGCCCCGTTGGGAAAGCTGTAAGATAAAGAAAGTACGACACCGAAGTCGTACGCGTTGGCCGTACGAATGAAGAAGCCCGAACCAAATGTCCATAGTACCAAAATGGCCAGCAGCATGAGCGTCAAGCGGTACTTGTCGTTTGGGGTGTACATGCCGTTAAAACTGTATCGGACGGTACGGGGATCACGAGGGGTAGTGGAGTGGAGCAGAGGGAGGGAGCATGGGAGAACAGACATTGGACAATATATGCGAGGGGAAAAATGAAGGAAGGATTTGGGACAACCGCAAATATGGCTAAAGGTGAGGTATGTATGTAGGTAGGTACGGTGGGCAGGCAGGTAGGCAGGTAGGTAGGTAGGTAGGTAGGTAGGTACGGATGGCAGGGGGATATGGATGGGGAACGGAGGTAAGGAGGGGCCCGTAAGAGTAAACTTTGCCTCCACTTGGGGTGGGTCGTCTGGTGGTGCGGGAGGCGCTGCGGTTGCGGAGCAGTGGTGCGCTGAGCGCCCTCCCGGGCCTGGGCGGCCGCCCACGTCGTGAGACATGTGGGAGCGGTTCGGCGGTTCTTCCCCCTCCTCCCTAACGCCAGCCCGCCTTGCCATGGCACCCAACAGTGTGATCCATTCGCAGCAGGCGCTAACAAGTCCTTCACCGCAATCGATGACAGGTCTTCATAACCGACAACGGAAAGGAGGTAGGAACCGATAATGTACCGACAGGGTGGTTGTTGGCGTTGTTGTTCTTATTATTATTGTTGTTGTTGTTGACGGTGAGAGGGTGGATACACTGTGTGGGCAAAGCTCGTCCTGAGAAAGGAGCACGACAAGCACCGGGGGGAGTGGCCCCTGACCGGACCGGGGGGGGCCGAAACACAGCAGCAGTGCAGGGGGGCGCGCGGCTACCGTTGTTGTTGCCATTGTTGTTGTTCTTGTTGTCGTTGCCGTTGTTGTTGTCGTTGCCGTTGTTGTTGTTGATGGGGTGTTACACTGTGGGCGGCTCGCCCGATAAAGGACGAGCACCGGGGGCCCTGACCGGGCCGAAACACAGCGCAGGGATGGGCGCGCGGCTTTACGTCCGTCTGTTCCTCCGCGCGCGCCTCATTCCCTCACTCACGCCAACCGGGACACTCTCCCAGCCCCTGGCTAGGCAACACAGCGGCGCAGAAGACTGCGAACCGATCTATACAAGAACCGCACGAAAGGCGCCACTTCGCCTGGCCTGCCTATTCACGCGCTCTCGTCCCTCTTGACCGCCAAAACAAGAACAAGAAGAAAACACCACCGGGGGCAGGGGCTCTACTCGGGGGCCTCCTCTACACACTCAAAAAACCAGGGCCCCACGCAGCCAGCAAGGCAAGAGATACACGGAGGACCACGGGCCTGAGACGACACACCACAAAAGCCGAGATACGGTTGCACAGAAAAGACCAACACAAAGCGAGTACTCGCACACTGGTCCTCGAAGGCCAGCTGTTCAACTACCACGAGCAACGAACAACGAACACTTCCCGAGGGTGGCCACCATTACCTCGCCGGTCCACTCACAAACGAGGCGAAACTGGTCCGCACGTCAGTCTCCTCCTGGGGGTTGCGGGCTCTCGGATGCAGCCCAGCGCGAGACACAGCAAAAACACCTATAGCCGCGGGGGGGATGACAAGCCAGCACGGCGCCCCCCTATAAAGCCCGGAAAAGGCACGGCTCACAGACGCCGCCTGCTCCCGCTTACCACACCGAAATCCCTCCCCTCCTGACCCTGACCGGCCGGGACCGTTGTTGTCGTTGCCGTTGTTGTTGTCGTTGCAGTTGTTGTTGTCGTTGCCGTTGTTGTTGTCGTTGCCGTTGTTGTTAATCTGTTCCCACCCAGTCCGACCGCCAACAGTCACCGACAGAATCGCGCCCGGACGGTGGGTGGGACGGTGGGTGGGCGGAGCCATGCAAAGGAGCAGCAGAGGGTCCACAGCCGACACATCCAAGGCCCCAACCCCGGGGGAAAGGGCTTGGGACAACCCGCCCAAAACACACGTGGGTGAGGTGGGTCGGAATCCGCATCTCGCGAAATCCGTGTACAAATGGCGGCGGCAGCGGCGACAAACCCCGGCGGCAGCTGCGGTCCGCTTACGATTCCCAAGTTTCGGTTCAACTGGGGCTGGTGGAGCCGGCGGCGGGGCGTTGGCATTGCACGTGCTGCCGCCGCCGCCGCCATCGGTGCCGTATGCCAGTAGAGAGCCCTAAAGGACTCCCTTTCCCCCCCGGACTTTCAAGAGGGCGGAGGGCTCGTCGTGTCTAATATAGCTGCTCGTAGCTAACAGGCGATAGCTCGTGAGGTAGGGTAGCGTTCCAATAGCGGAATGACCCCTTCCAGCAGTATGGCAAGGGGCCCTTTTTGTAAAGCTCGTGTCGTAGTGCGTGTTAGCGAACTCAATGGACCTAGAGGTTCGCAAGGTTTGTGCGTTTGCGTGTGTTTGCATCTGCAGAAATCTATAAGCCCTTTCATGGTGAGGTGCAGCTGTACCCCCCCCGTACAGCTCTCGGTACGTGCGAACCAATTATGCCACTCACAAGCGCAGCTTCTTACGGTACTGCATGTACGGCAGCACGATGCTGAGGTCGAGGACGAAAGGCGGTTTGGTTGCCGCATCTTGGGCTAAGTCCGTGGGGGAGCTAGGGGAATCCCCCATGGCGTCCAATATCGCGCTTTGCAACGCGCGCTCCGCCCGGAGGGAAGACGGCCTCCGTCGAGCCGCCTTGCTGATATTTGGCTTGTATCCAGCTATGAAGCCGTTATTCTGTACAAGCAATGACGACGAGAGTGGCTTATGGCTTGCTGCTGCTGGCGATATGGTGGGCTTTCCCAAGAAAGAACATCAAACTTGGTGCCAAAGTGGTTGACAGCGCACCACCTGAGGTTAAATGCGCACGCTTAAAAAAAACAAAAGTTATGCACTATCCGGGGTACCATCCTGACAGTCCAGCCTGAAGTGTAAAACGCACGTGAAGGACTCACAACAGTAGTTTCCAATCAACAACTGTTTAAGTTCATTGCTTGATTCCCATCATAATATATGGCCGTGTAAGGCCTATCCTGGATAGTCACGGCAGAGCAACTGCTCGCTACGTTTGTTACAGTACGGACCGTGGCCGTTATAACTCATACCAAAGCTCCCAAGCTAATTGTTTCTATGACAAAGCGACAAGTAACTATTATTAATGATCTATAGCTAAAGATCGCACTGCCGCCATTCGGAGTTAACGCAACTGCTGTGTTCCATCGGGAGCGGCGACTTAATTGCGCGTTGCCTTCGGCTGATACAGGACTAACACAATGTATGACCGCTAGACATATAGAAGACAGCCAGTAATGGCACCCGTCGGCCGGATAGTCGCGCCGTTGCGCGGCGTGCTTTGGTCGCTGGCCTCGATCTGGATTCTCTTAAGAACATCAACATTTGCGGTGAGCCCCAATTGCCAACCTACATAAACCGGTCGCTGACCCGTGTCTCCCGTTGCTTCTGACGCCTACCAGGTCATTAGACGATGTACAAACTCACTCGCGCGCTTATGCCTGCATCAATACAACCCCCCAGGATCCGCTTCCCCACATCGACGACTGCTACTTATGTCAAAAATGCCACACTGGTAAGCCCAGTGGCCGGCGACTGCTGGCTCAGGGCTCCTTCCACGGCGCAGGAGACGCCGCCGCGTCGCAGCTGGCGTCACGCAACTTGGCATCAGCAACAGCCGCCACAGCTGATTCCTCGTCAGGGGCCGACCTCTCAGCAGACCAGGCTGGGCCTTATGCCCATGCAGCCTCACAAACAGATGGTGGGCCCAACGGCAGGACCCTACAGGCGGCAGCGGAACCCATGTACGTGCCGCCAGACTTCCAGTTCCACATCATGCCACAAAAGGAGGAGATCGCTCTGAAGAGCTCCAAACCCAATTGCACTGAATGCTACGGCTGCGATACCCAGATCGAACCCCTCCAGGGCGTGGTCACCGCGGCGCACGGCCAGACGTTGCGGGCCGAAGTGGGCGCTTCGCCGGAGTGGCTCTTCCTAGCCGGTAAGGACAACCTCAACCTCCTGAGCCGGGATATTAGGCTTCACTTCGAGGTCGCGGACTTCACTTTACCGTTGTACTACTCGCCCGTGGTAAAGACGGTGACGAAGGACCCGCATGTCTAGAGGCCTTCCAACGGGCAAACAACAGCAGCATTAGGGATTATGAAAGCCACAGCCACATAGCACCAGCGTATATCCGACACCGCCATCATCACCAGAATCACTGCCAGGACCAGCGACAGCGCGTGCAGCAGCAAGTGTAGTAGCAACAACGGCAGAAGCAAAACACCAGCAGCGCTTGGAGCAGCAGCAGCAGCAACAGCTGCGGCAGTAGCATCGTGCAGCGAGTGTGTAATATTATACCCTAACGAGAACCGCAAAGCCTTTCCGGCAACCAGCCTAGAGTAGCGACCTAACTCAAAAAAGACGGACTCACGAAGCTCTCAGCGGCGTTGGTTCGGTCTGTTGGCTTTAACCCTGCTGACACGCACTAAGGCCCACCTAGATTTTTGGTGCCCATGGAGAGTGTCGTGTTGGCTATTTTATTGGCCAACATTCTGCGTTGGGCTCGCACGGTGTGGGCCCCAATCAAAGGCACTGTTGCGATGCTACGGTGCTTGCTTGCGGCATGTGAGGAAACCCCTTCGCCGCTGGAGGCGTTGGTGGTGGGAGGGTTGATCTGCTGGCTGAAGAATGGAGGTGGTAGATCCGATGCAACAGGCATCTCACGGGCCTTGACGATACAGCCATAGCAGCTGGCGTTAGGTAATGGAGATGATTGCATCATACAGTACAGGTACCCAACGCGTCCTGCTTGGTGGGTCGTGTCCTCTGACTGTCGCGTGCGGTCGCAGTCCAGGAGGCATCGCTCCAGAGTGCGCTCGGGTACTCGGTTACATGCGAGGGGTTGTCTCAGCTGATGCGGCAGCAGCTGGCACAGCTAATCCAGCGGCTGGCACAGCTGATCCGCCCGTGGCACAGCGATGGTATGCGGTTTATGACGTGCTGTGTGTGATGTGATGATGTGTGATGTGTGATGATAGCGATTTCAGCAACCCGCGCGTCGCGGTTGTGTCGCAGATCTTCCGGATGCGGGAACCACGGGCCAGCGGGCGGTGATCAAGGTGTGGTGCATGCCTATTGACAAGGTGCACGGCACGTTCTCTTGGCGCTGCAGCAACACAGGGGAGGGCGCCAAGGCGGTGCAGTTCCTGATGGCGCAGCAGAAGGTCATGGAGGAGTGCGGTCTGATGGACGTCACGATTAAGGTGAGGCCGGTTTGCTGTGTAGGCTATGTATGGTTTGGGGACAGGAATACGTAATCAGTCGGATTTTTAAAGGGCACTGGGACAGTTGGGTATAGCACGAAAAGCAATGTAAGATGACGCTTGGGAGGCGTTTGCAGGCGATGGGGTTCAGGTGAAAATTCGGATTTGGGCAAGGAGGGAAGTGAGTTGGTGGGAGGGGCGGAGGGGTAGTTATGGGCCAGGGACAGGGCACACACGTGCGGTGCCGCTGTGCTAGATGCTACAACCGAGCAGGCGCTGGGCTGTCTTCCGATGCCGGCGGTAATTGTGGCAGTGGTGACGGTCTGTAATGGGTGCGCTAGGGGCTCGTGGTTGATTGTACATGTGTCACCTATTTTTGTGGTGGTGATGCTGTGTTGCTACTGTTGTTGGCACCTTCGCGGCGCCTTGCGATGGAGCATGGATCCCACAAAACGTACACAAGGATGCGCGGCCACTGTGTCTCTAGCCCAGACTGGACCCGTGCGTCGCTGGGTGCCAACCTCCCCATGTGCGAGGAGACGTTTACTCTTGTCATCCCATGCAAGCGACTCATACCGTGTTCATGCCCGGCAGCCGTGTCTTCCCCTGCGTTCACCCCGCTCTCCCCCACACCAGCACTCTTTCCTTGGCAGCAGCTTCACTCGCTCGTGATTCGCCTTTTCCCCCCCCCGCACGACCATGTCCCCGACGCCGGTCCTATCCGGCGTCTGCAGGTGTGGCCCGGACGCGTCAACGCCGTGGTGCCTGGCCACGGCCTGCACGTGTGGTGGGACGGCCTATGGATGGAGCGTGCGGAGGGCCTGTCTCTCAACCAGATCTCCTACAGGCACACGCGCAACTTTGTGACGGGAAGCCTCCTCACGGTCATGGACAAGCGACTCAACCGAACGCGAGTGGTGCGGGCGGCCATATACGACTTGCTCACTAGCCAGTGCGACAGACACTCGCAGAACGTTTTTCTAACGGAGACGGGCGAGATCAAGCTGATTGATAACCTGCAGGCCCTGCAGTTCAGCTGGGTGAACTGCGCCATGGACTCAATCTTTCTGCCGGGGACCCAGAAAAACATGGTTATAAAGTAAGCGGGTGCTCTTGGCATAGGACTCCTAGAGGGCGACCTATGCTACGGGCATAGGGAACGGAACTTTGGGCAGTTCGGGGCGTGGGGGGAGGCGGTGGGGGATAACTTGACAAGTCGACCATGGCTGGTCGCGGCAGAAGGGAGCAATCGTTTTCACTTGCAGTTGGGTTGTGCAGTCTGATGTGTAACGGTTTTGTTGTTGTTGTTGTTGTTGTTGTCAAGGGGGTTTGGAGGAGAGCTGCAGTGCTCTTGCTACTGCAGCAGCTACATGAATTACGTCAACCCCGCGGTGTGCAGCACCAGTCCCATGATGCGGCCTAGGCCAGCTTTGTCAGCCCTCCCAGTCTGGCCACCGTGCGTCTATTGGTCCACATGGCAAGCTGAGGCCGCCGTCTTTGTTCCCAGTCACTTGGCTGTGTATTTCCGTACCCCTACTCCAAGGGCTTCTTAACCCACAGTCGCCGTTTAGCACGTAGAATTCCATAAAAAATTCGCTTGTTGAGGATATTCTTGGTCTTTCCGTTAGGGCGCTAACAGTTCGGGTAGCTGTTCTTGGCCTGCGTCAGGCGCGGTCTGATTATGTCGCACGCTGGGTGTGGTCTCCCGAGGTGCATGCTTCCGCGCTCCCTTGTTACAATAGCTGTGCCGGAGGTTGTGTTGTATCGTGCTGCAATCGCGTCGCTCACCACGTGCTCTGTCCTGAGCTTCCTCCCGCCCTTCGCGCCACTTGGTGCTACATGCAGGTGGGGTGGCAACACGGCCTTCAAGATTCGGAACGCAAAAGTACGGCGGTCTCTCAACCCCATGGTGGTTCTCGACTACAGGTGCTACGTGGAAAACGGCAGGATAGGCAAGAACTATGACCCCACGCTGCGTCAGTGCCTGACGAAGCTGAGTGGCATGACGGCCAAGCAGATCCAGCTGGAGTACGGCTTCCCGTACGTGGCAAGCGCAGCCGTCCTGCAGCAGCGAGCGGCAGGTGCGCTGACTGCTGGAGTTTAGCAATTTTGCCACGGTCTGTGACAACTGCATCGCGCCATATCGCGGCTGCAGGCTCTTGCAACCACCATACCATGCCATGATAAGGTGCAAAGGCTTACCAGAGGCGGCACGCGTTGCATAGGTGTTTAAGTAATTGAGCCGTAATTATGTAAAGGTTGAAGAAGTCAAATGCAGAACATTATTTTCACTACCATCAACGTGTGCCGTAGCCGGCAGACTGAGTGATGTGCTGGTGCGTTATGCATTTCACGCCCCAACTTCTTACGAGATCGGCTTGATGTTGTTGCCATCTCCGGGCGCCCACGCCCCCCAGCTGCATGCGCAGCCATATTGCTGCGCATGTCACGAGCCCGCCGGAAAATTACTTGAATTTTTAGGAATCATGGTCAGCAAAAGGGCTGTCCGCAAGACAGGAGCATTATGGACATGGGCTGCCCATTCTCGGGGCAGTTGCCAACGCGGCCTCTCTTTTTGGCATTCTTGCTTTCCGTCCTTGCGCGTGAACTGGGTCGATCCTAAAGTGACCAGGGCTGCCCTCTGCCTTTTGCCCTTCCGCTCATGTATGCAGACATGATCAACAAGGGTTTTGAATGGACACTTCGCTATGGCAAGCCGCGCAGCTTCCCGCCCAAGTCTTATCGCCCACAGGAGCCCTGCTGTGGCCTTAATGCAACGGAGAAGGGCGTGTTGTACTGCGCCCACGAATGGGCCAACAAGGTGGAGCTGCCGTTTGGTGATCCGCAGAGCGGTGGCGAGTGGCACCGACCGTACCCGGACCCTGGGACGCACCAGGGCGGCACATTCTTGGATTTCCCGCAGGAATCGGACTACTGAACGTAGGATTTGGGGGACATGGACGTGGGGGACCTGAATGGCAATTCTGGGAGTTGTGTTGACATATGCGGACCACGTGTTTGTTTGGACGAGCGGGGAAAGGAGTGCAAGATGTAGGTGAGGTTTGAACTATGCTGTTTACTTTTGGATGCGAAATGTGGACTATCGTGACCACAGGCTCTGATGTTGCGTGTTATACTGCAGCAGCAGCAGCACTGTTATTTGTGTCGTCTTACTGTGCGCGTTGGTGTATTAGGGTGGGGAGGCGTGCGGACACGGATCTGGAACCAATACCCAATGAACCTGAACGTGATATACAATACGGCCAGCTCGGCTGAAAATCCGGTGCGCGTACGTTGTAGGACATTAGCAGTTTTTGTGTGGAAGGGCTTGCATGGAGCCCAGGGACGTGAAACGCAGAACCGATTGTGTAGGAGGGCCCCATAACCTGGGAGATACATATGGGGAAAGTCCACGGACGGCCGCAATGCAGGATGACAAGGACTGCATGCAGCACCGCGCGTCTGAAGATGTGTAGCGGTATTGTAAATGGGGTTTAGGCGGGTTGGATGGAACTCTTGGACTCCTTGACACGTACCTACGTTGTGCTCCCTCAACTGCGGAAGACCCGCCGGTTTGCAGTGCAAGGGTTATAACCCCGTCCTCGCTTGGGGTGTGTACCACTTAATTGTAAGGGCACTTGTGGCGCACCTCTCTTCATGATAGAAGCTTATGAGGTATTAACTCATAAGCAATAACAATGCAAGTGCTGTGCATGAGCAAAACAAAAAATGGACAGTGCTAGTATGTATTTCCAAATATGGAGTTGAGGCTCGTGTAGAGCACATGCCCCTCCTTCGTTTCAGCTTTCAGGAAGCGGACGCCGCTGTCCGTACACCGGATCCAATTAATTTGCTGTTGGCAGAAGCCCGTCGCTTTCTGTCCCTGTAACTTAATTCGTCATCAGTATTAGTGTAACGCTGGGGCCGAAATTATGAGCCCTTGTTACATTGTTGCCGTGCGCCCTGTTTAAAAGGCTGCTAGACAGCTTCAATCCGGTGACAATATTGCTGCAGCTGACAACACAGCTGGCACTAATTGTTCGGGGAATTCTCAAGATATCGCATTAATATTGCCACCGTTGTCGTCAAAGTTGGGAGCTCTCACATCTATTGTTCAGACATGGCGGAGGCAGCACCGGCAAAGTCTTCGCAGGGTTCAGGGTCCAGCGATAATGAAGGGGTAAACGTGCAGGTTTTGCTAAGATGCAGGTGCGCATGCGGCTTTTGTTGACCCAAGATGGTGGTCGGCGGTTCAATTGTCCAAGGTGTGCATCCTGTAGGCCAATGAGCGAGAGGGAAATCGCAGAACGGGCTCCGCAGGTTATTTCCTGCAACGAAGCTCTGCGTGAGGTGACTTTATACCAGAACGTCGGAGGCAAGCAAATGAGCAGGACCTTTCGCTTTGATAAGGCGAGTACTGGCAGACATCGTGCAAGCAACGTCGTGGCAATGCCATGCTCATAGGTGACCGGAACCCACTTCATGCGGACGCGCCGGCGCAAACCGTGGGATGTACTGCAGGTTTTCAGCAGTGACGCTTCACAGGAAAAGCTTTACAAGCAGGCCATCATCCCAATCGTTCAGGAGGTGATGGATGGGTTTAACTGCACCATCTTTGCATACGGGCAGACTGGTACAGGCAAAACATACACCATGGAGGGGGGCCCCCGGCGAAGTGACGACGGGAAAAGCTTATCGGCAGAGGCGGGAGTCATCCCGCGCTCCATTAAGCAGATCTTTGACACCATTGATGCAAGCAACGTCGACTCAACTGTTAAGGTTTCGTTCCTTGAGCTGTACAACGAGGAGCTCACGGACCTGCTCTCTTTCGATGACGCCAAGGATGACAAAAAGGCGCTGCGGCTGCTCGAGGATCGCAATGGGGTTGTGGTGCAGGGATTGGAGGAGGTCGTGGTGAAAAGTGCAGCAGAAATTTATCAGGTAAGGTTGCGTTTGTCATGTCGGCGCGTGGGTTGAAAGTTTGAACCAAACGACCGCTGACAGGTAACTATTACTCAGACTCGGGCATTCGAGCATAGAGATGAATGATGCGTTGCGCTTCACTTCCATCTGCTTTATTCACGCGCTTCAGGCAAGACGCACGGGCAATGTACCGTGCCGGTGTAACAAACGCAATACTTGCGGCCTGCAAATCCATGTTATGCATGCCGCTTCGTCAGAGACGCGGTTTCAAGTCTAGGCGCCGCCTGAAGTGTATTTGTGCTGATGCTTGGGCTGTTCGTAGGTGCTAGACCGCGGTACTGCCAAGCGCCGCACAGCTGAGACGCTGCTCAACAAGCGGTCCAGCCGCAGCCACTCAGTCTTTTCGATTACTATCCACATGCGCGAAGTAACTCCGGAAGGCGAAGATGTGGTGAAGGTCAGTACGGTCGCGATTTCGTGCACATGCAGAGCCTGTGCATCTCGGAGAACGCCTATGCTTTGTCTTCTACAGGTTGGAAAGCTACACCTTGTGGACTTGGCAGGCAGTGAGAACATCTCCCGGTCAGGCGCGAAGGATGGTCGGGCGCGCGAGGCTGGCTCCATTAACCAATCGCTTTTAACGCTCGGGCGCGTTATCACGGCACTGGTGGAGCATTCTGGGCATGTGCCGTACCGTGATTCTAAGCTCACCCGTCTCCTGCGCGATTCCCTTGGCGGTAAAACAAAAACCTGTATTATCGCTACGATTGCGCCGACGGTGCACTGCCAGGAGGAGACAATCAGCACCCTGGATTACGCGCACAGGTGCGTTGGCATTGCAGGTATCCGCAGCCCAAGAAGCACGGGCACCGTTAATGCGTCGCCTACGGCGCTACCGAGGGACTAAATGGGTTGGTTTCACAGGCATTTCCCTCTATTATCAAAATTGCAGGCTGATGCTCCTCCCTGGCGACTGCCTTTAAACGCACCATTTTGAAAGGTTTCGTATTGATTAATTTGCTGATGTGCTGCCCTTACTTGAAGGGCCAAGAACATCCGGAACCGGCCCGAGGTCAACCAGAAGATCTCAAAGACGGCAATGATTAGGGAGATGTCATCAGAAATGGAGAAGCTCCGTATGGAGCTTGTGGCCCAGCGTGAGAAGAATGGCGTCTATATCTCAGTGGAGAAGCACCAGCAGGTACAGGGTTTGCCTAAACAGGCCACCTCTCATGCTGCTCCCTATGGAGCTAGTTGTTGGGCTATTTTCTGCAGAGCATTGATAGGGGAACAACACTGACTTTGCTGCAAATAACCTTTATTGTGTCCTTGCCCGAAGCATCTTTCATCCAGCAGCAGGTGCAGCAGTCCGGCTGCTGCACCTCCAGCCCGACATTCTCGTGTTGCTTTCATCCAGCTTACACGCACGCCAGGCCACAGCCACATAAGCTTGCTTACTTACGCCATGCGCCCTCGCTGACGGTAAACAACACCAGGATGAATTGGAGCGCGTGCAACTCCGTGATACGGTGAAAGCGCTCCGAGAGGAAATGAAGCTGGAGCAGGAGGAATTCGCGCAACAATTGGAGCAGCTTAAGACAGAATCGGAGAGAACCATTAATCGTCTCGAGGTGTGCGCCTTCAATGGAGGGATTGTCCGTGTGCACTTGTTTTGCTTTAAGCCCTCACTGCCGTCTTGTTGCCCTGCGCATGGCCTTGTTAGCCAGGGTGGTGCACATGCACAAAATGCGCGAATGGGACTCCTCCATTTGGGCCGCATGCCGTCAGATGGCCGCATCTGGATGCCCAATTTTGCAAGGGCTTGCCTCCTCGACAGAAAAATAAGCAGCCGCGTTTCCTTGTTTGCTCTGTTACCCATTCCAATCTTACAGTCTGAATTGGCAACGTGCAAGGCGGACTTGGAGTATTTGGATACGCGGCTTCAGGCGGCCAGCCGTACTATCCACGAACGGCAATACCTCATTGCCGCGCACCAGAAGGCCGAGAGTGAAATCGTCGAGCACGCGGAGGGAGTTCGCAACGACCTGGAGGCTGCAGTCCGTGATATTGCGGGGCTCTTCGCATCCTTGGGGGAGTTGTCGGATGTCCACACTGGGGATCGGGATTCTTTAAAGGCAATTCGGAATTTGCTGAAGGTGAGTAGGGCTCGAGGGTTTGATGCCTGGCTTCCGTGATGGTTCTTGGCTGTGAAGGAGCTGACTGCTGCGATTTTACGGCTTTCCAGGTCTTTGTGTGCACGTGTTTGCGAGTAAAAATCTCTACGGGTGAGGTTTCTTCATGTCCCTGCGTTTCAGGCGCGTCTTGAGGACATTGGCACCTCTCTATCCGGTGCGATCGATGGCCAGCGTAAGCAGCTGCATGCCATGAACGAGGCGCTGGCTTCATTCATGCAACGTAAGCAGGACGACCTGCAACAGCTAATGGCCCGAGTAGCCAGCGTGCAGTCGACAATCCTTTCCATGAAGGAAACGGTTGAGGGCCGTGCGCAGGTGGCCGAGTCGGCTGCTAGTGATGCTCTGGGCCGGGCGCGGGAGGTGGCCGCTGCACACGTTGCTGGCGTCATTTCCTCTTGCCAGGGTCTCGAGGCCGCGACACGAGCTGCGGTCGACGCCCTGTCGTTGTCTATCCAGCAACAATCACAGGAACTCATATCTTTCGCACAGCAACAAACATCTTTCGCCGAGAGCTCTTGTGAGGCCTTGCGCAGCACGATGAAGCGCTTCACGGCGAACTATGAAGCCGTCCAGGCGACAGCAACGCAGGCAGAAATCATGGTGGAGGAGAAAACGGCGTCGCTGAACACAGGCCTAGGGGCTTTCGCTGCCCGCTTTAAGGATGCATCTTCCCGGCACCAAACACGTCTGGTGGAACAGATTGCTGCGCTCGTGCAAGCGTTTGCGGAGGAAAACGCAAGCGAAGTGGCCAGGGAGGTCGAGTCTCTTAAGCAGCAGGCAGCTGAGACAAGTGACACAGTCAAAGGCAAGTTCAGCGATATCACCCAGGCGACTACAAAAGCTATTCGAGATGTGCAGGTAAGCTGCGATGCAAACATGGCCGCATCTGTGCAGATGAAAAGCCTGCCTTACCATATCAGATGGAACAGTTGTTTTGTCCTACAGTCGAATGCGCGATCACCTCGTTTTTCGCTTGCCATGTTCAGCTGCTTCCTCGTATGCCTTATGTCAAAGGATGTCGTCCCCTGCGCTAATGCTGGTGTTCAGGAAGCTGAGGAGTCCCTCATCAACAGTATCAACGTGCATCAGAAGCAGGATAGCGACTGCACAACAAGCATGGTCTCCTCACTGGGCGCCATTGAGGACAAGACGCGTGTCTTGCATGAGGCAGTTGCGGTCCAAGTTCATGGCAGTGCGGCGGCGGCCGAGACTTTCATGCAGGTATGGGCATCTTGGCTAGCCCAAACACAAACAGCTTGCCGCAACTGCATGTGTTTTCATCTAACCCTTCACATGACACTACCCTGCGCTTTCCATTGTGTGTCTGGCGACCGTAGGACCTTGGTCAAGTTATTGATTCGGGCACTACGGCTGTGCAAGCAGCCGTACAAGCCTGTGTCGAGGGCAGTGGCAGCGCTGCATCATCTACACAGACCATGCTGCAAAGCTTTAGCCAAGCGTTGGAGGAGGCTACGAACAACACCCTTTCTGTAGCCGACGACTGGGTTGCCGCCTGCTCAAACATGGCTGCCGACATTACAGGTTAGTGTACAAAGTAGGGCGAAATTCATCATTCTTCTGACAATTGACTGTCAGTATTAGTTAAGCTTGAAACTTTCGAAAAAAGATAAGCTGTCCACGAGGGAAGGGGCAACATGGTAAAGCTGGACCCTAGGTGGAAGCCTTATGGGCTTCGTGCAAGCTATTGAGCATGCGGAATACACTGTGCTACGAACTGTAGGGGGTCATTGAATCCGAAGAAGAGGCTGTTAGCGAGGCTGTGTGCCAGTTTCTGGTACCGGTGTACCCGTTCGAGCGAAGGGGCTGTCCAGGAAAAGGGATTGTTGACGGCACCGGGTAAAACTCTGCCATCGAGTTGTAATTTATCAAAAAACACGTGTGCCTCTTCTAGCCAATCTGCCGTTGCCCTTTCGCCTATTTTCCGGCCCAGTTAATGACTTCCAAACCATCTGCTAACTGCCATATGTCCGAACAGCAATGGATGGACGAAAAGTGGCGGATTTTGCCTTGCTCAGCAATGACGCGGACACGGTAATCCAGGAGCGCCTTGAAGTTCAGTTGCAACTGGCGCCGCCAGAACAGCGGGACGTCAAGGTGCCGCCTCCTTCCACGATCCGAGAGCTGCGATGCCTGCCCGAGGAAACACTCCTGGCGCGATGCCAGACTGAGTTTCCGGCAGTCTACGCTGAACCATTGGTAAGTTGTATGTTTGAACTTTAAGCTTTATGGATGTCATGCAAAACAAACCCAATCCATTGCCTCCAGGTACAGCCAGCAAGGGGAAGCCCACGCGGTCTTGTACGTGTTGCCAGTGGGCCAGCCGCATTGGTTAGCAGTGAGAACGCTACGCCCATGCCGCCTCAAGTGGCAACTATATCAGCTGCTCCGACTGGTGGCAACGGCCAGATCTCACCACGATTTTCGACGGCAAGCCTGCGAAGCCGCATTCCCTCGAAGCCGTCGCTCGTCCCTAGCTCGCCCTCCAGCGGCAAAGACCAGACTGCCAATATCACGTTTCGACAACAGCTCTCTGACAGAACGAACGCAGGACGCCAGGGGCAAAGCATCCTTGCGGAATGGTAGTGGTACCATATACCAAGGAAAGTGGGTGTGCTAGTGAGGCGGAGTGTCTCAACGTGTGCGATAGAGCTTGCTGTCCTGGTGGATAGGGAACTACCCTGTGTTTCGTGAGCGCGTCGCCTTATTGTTAGACATCATACGAACTGCATTACATGTGGCCTGTGCATATTGTGGTCGTAGTCGAAAGGGATGTACTAAACACGTTCGTAAGCGCTGCGGTCGCTTATAGTCCTGGCATCCCTTGCAAGTGCCCATTCGTTTTACGGAGGCGTCGTCAAGTTTGTATTTGTAATGCTTGCGTGTCGAGCTAGCATTACAGGGGACCCGGACGGATCATCAGTCTCTTCCGCATCCGACATTGTGGAAGCCCACGGACGTGAAAGCATGAGAAAACCCGCACCATCTGCCAATAAACTCCTAGCGAATAAAGCGCATCCGTCCCCGCTACTAATAAGACGCGCCGATTTGGTAACCATCTTCATGTAACAGGTGTACTGCTCTGGGAATCCTAGTGGCCGCTAGCCATGACCAGCTTAATATGCAGTCGCCGAAGCATAACAGATTTAAGAATTATGTTAAACGACGTATGACTCCTACAAACCATCAATACGTATACTGCTGCCGTACCAAACCTTAGCTAACGAAGGGTTGGCGCCAAACTGCCGTAGAAACCACAAAATCTGGTGTCTGACGTGTTCCAGTCAGGTAATGCATTGCTATCTGTATTCATCCTCTTCTGTTTTATACTAATAATGAATATGACATCGCCCTGCTGTAAGCATGATACGGTTCAATCACTTGGCTCCTCAACCACCAGGCTAACAACTAAATCAGTTAAGTCTAACTCCTGTGCAAGCAAGGACTCCAGCTGCTGCTCGGCCACCGGTGATGACAGAGCTCGCGCCACCGCTGCCGCCATGTCCCCACCTTGGACCGTGAGGGCCGTCGTCGAGACGAATGTTAATGTCATGCTGCACAAACGCAAAAAGGAACAGCAGCGCGGCTGGTGAGGAGATCATGCCATGAGGTATCCCATTGTTGAGCTGCACGCACGTGCCAGCTAATAGCCAGCAATACCGAAATGTCGGCAAGCATTCATCAGACATATGCCATCTAGACCTGTCAGCTATGAGAGGCTATCATGAAGCCCAACGAGCCATTCGGAAGAACCGGCCCAATTCTGCGGTTTATGCATTCAATGGCCCCAGCACAGCTCACCTGTTACATGCAAAGTCCCCTATAGTGGCGTTGACGCCGGTCGCTCCCAGGACTTGCAATGTTCTGGGAAGGGCATCCTGGTTCAGGCAAGCGACGCGGCGTCAGTACATGACCGCATTGCCCTGCAACGATTATAATAAACGTAGCCCCAATCTTTTGCGACAACTCTGCCCCTAAGACGGCAGCAACACGAGGAGAACCTCTTATGATCCATTCAAGCTGAACACATGGAGGTATATCTGCCATCCTTGCACCAATTAGCAGAAAGTGCCCTGCCAGTGCCGTACCTCCATTGCGCTCCGCAGGTCCACAGCTGACCTAACGCCGGCGCATGCAGACCCATTGCCGCTAGGGCCAGCGGACCGCTGCTCTTGCTCTAATGGCGCCTGTTGGGATGAGTTGTAGCGGCCTGTTAGCGTGTTGAAAGCGCAAGGACGTCTAGAGCAGGACAGATCCTTCCTGCCATGGTGATTTGTTAAGGGGCGTTTCTTTGTAAGCCACCAACACGCACAATCGAGCACCTCCCGCAGACTGGGACATCGTACCGCCATGGCAATTGCAACGTGTAGTTGTAATGTGATGGCCTCGCCCATGCTTCCAGCTCGATTTATTTGGACCGCCTGCAGATAATCGCGATAGAGGAACTGTGGTTTTCCGCGCATTTACTCCCATCAAAACAACGCGAGGTTATGAAGAAAAACCATATTGATTCGAAGCTGGGTATGGTTCGTAAATTTCCTTGGGCAGATGGTAAACTGCTCAGGAAAGGCGGAGAGCGGTGATGCGTCGAACGTGTCATGGCGGTCCAATGTACAAGCGGTCGAAGCAAACTCCAGAGTCAATTGGCTATCGCTTATTCTTATTATGGAAAATATTGTGTCTCATTTGGACTCACATTGTCACTCGTCCGGTAAAGGAAACACAACGGCACGGCGACAGCAGCAGCGATGGCGACGAAAGTCAAAACCGCTGCTGATAATGCAAGGATGGAGCATGAGTACCTCGGACTCGAAACCTATGACATTCACAGTGGTCGCCTTTATTCTGGTATGGATGAATAGGACAAGAAACATTTCCGCACGCGCCGCACCTCCGGCTTTGCAGGTTCAGCTGATAAGCAGATGCGGACTTCTGCAGCTGAATGAAATGCGCATTCATCCCAAACCAAGATGGGTACAGTGTGAGGAGCGGCGAGAACACTTGGGGAGCTGAGGCCCGGCCGTTGGCTTTCCTTCATATCGGCATCACTGCAGCAATTCTTTACCCATATAATGGAAAGAACAATGTTGGGTCCTTCCTGAAATTATAGATGAGGACTGGCACGGACTTGGGCACGGAACCAGTGCGAGGACAACCCTGCAGTACCCCAATCAAACCAAAAATCACAGTTTATAATAGATGATTTTATATTCTCAAATAATATATGCCTATAAGGAAATGTTGCACCCACTGCTCAGGATTTCTTATGGCACCACCCAACCAATTAACGGAAAAAGCCGCTACAGTTTACCGACCCGAATCAGTAGTTCAACACCCTGTTCCTACATACAGTAATAGCCCATTTTTTGCATATTTTGCTCTCTATGCTCACCAGCCATTGTATTCCATGTTCTTCGCTAAACCGCTGGGCTGGCATCAAACGGCTTGGCTAGCAGATAGGCTCCGCCGGCTCTTTTCATGTCACCATCCGATTCCCGCGTTTAATTGCTTTTAAAGCTCAGACCTAGTTACCAAAAGAACTCTCAATCAGCTTGTACTATGCGAGCGATATTCACATCAATTCTTTTGCCTGTGCGCCCGCCACAGTCACCGTACCATTCTCGAGACGCCATGTACCGGTCATCAGTTAGCTGGTCCCATCCAACCATTGTAATACGAATACCGGATACATAAGTTAACGACAATATGTTCGGCGACGTAACTTATGCACAGTCCTCATCATGTCAGCTCATCTTGCAGCCCAAGATGTTTGTCCTGCGCAATAACTCGCTCCTTTCATACACAAATAGCAAGCATACATAATGTACAGGAGCCTAAAAGATACCGCTCCGGCGCCTTGCAGAACGCCATGTCGCGCTCCATCAGGCGCCCCGGGCAAGGGCCTTTTACAGTACCCTAGGACCTCACGCCATGCACCCCTAATGTTACCTTACCGGTCTATCAATGGCCTCATGGACGACTTTGTAAGAATGCCCTCTGTTGGTGCGAATGCTGCCTTGTGGTTCCTTGAGCTGGTGTCACGCCATATGACGTGCTAACAGACACAAGAAATGCGGATGGATCAGTGCTTTTACCTCTAGGCTCGACAGGGATCCGTCCCCAGCCCGTCCTCGCCTACTACGATCGCGCTCTCCAAGTGAACTAAGCCGGACTTCGCTAGCCGAGCCAAGCAGGAGCTTTAAGGAAGGCTCTTAGTTCATAACTATTCCCCACAGCCAAATGTTTGGCCTCTTCGCACTCACACTTATTGCGAAGGATCGACTGATCCGCGCCGGGCCTTATCACACGAGGCCCTATCCTGGATCCGTAGCGTTCATCCGACTAACGAAAGATGAACAACAACTGAACATCCTCAAACCACAACGGAAACCACATTATACGCTAGTCAAGCAGCACTTTAAGTCTCAACTAAATCAAGACGCGATTCGTCCAACTACCTTCGGTTGGCTTAACCACCTGCGGATAGCGGCTAACTCGCTCGTGGCACATAATTCGTGCGCTCCAGATGTTTTGGCGTGACACTGGGCTCTGATGGACATCATCCGCATCGTGTCGCCATTTATGTGAAACTGCACAATCCACCATTTTAACTGCAATAATCGCCATCGCCATCCGTCGGCATTGTACAGCAGCCGTATACGGTAGGGGCCATGTCCAGTGCGCTTAGTAGAACTTGCCAAATTTCCGAGCGCGCCCTTAAACTGACAAGGCTCCGCCAAAACCGCCGAGCGCCTTTTTTCCGCTTGTGGCCTGTGCCGTGCATTGCGATTTACTCGGGTTACAAATCTGTACTTTGTCCCGTGCCTTACACTCCTCTCTAAAGTCTGGCTGCAAGGTCGACAAACTATTGGTCCAAACCGACCAACTTCACATAATAGTAGCAAGGGCTACGTCTTTTTACAAAAACCAGCCGATGGCATCGAGGACACAAATCTCTCAGACGGGATAAGTCAACCAAGCTATCCCTTTCAGGCGCCCTCCATGAATGGGAAACCTACCAAGACGCTTCAGGGAAACTATAAAATAATTTATTGTGCAGATGAAGGGTCGTATAGGGCCCCAACCTAGAAGTACAGCTGCATCAGTGCCCATATAACCGGGTGGTGCTCCCTTCACCCAAGGTTTCTCGTAGCTCCACCCGGGTCCCCATTTGGGCGAGCCATGTCTTGGCTTGTCACCCAACCCCACCCGACAAGGATCACTTTTTTCCAATGCGGCACCACCCCACGCCATTGTTTTAAGTGCGGTACAGTAGCTGGCGCTGCTTTGGGCACAGCCAACCGGTGCATTTGTTTGTTGTGCAATTATCGTACATAATAACAAGGTGACGAACTTGGCCGGATAAGCCACAAGCCTACTTGCCCTTACTTTCCCATTCTTCTCCAGCGTGCGACGGAAGCAAGTAATGCCCCCGACGGAGCTGCTTGCAGTAGATCCACCCCCCCTGATGGATGTCGTTTCTCGCATGTACAGGAATGAGTGAGCGAGCACATTTCTGCAGCCAGCGTCTGGGAGCCGAACCAGCACATTAGATTCAATGCTTAGCCTGCCTGCCTGCCTGGACACACCACGCCCTGCCTCTAACCGGGCCCGGCTAACCGGACTCAAGTCTTAGTACTAACAGCCCTAAGACTCAATCCCATTTGCTTCGTCGATCCCTTCCTTTGCTAATCCTGTAATAATCCTTTGGTCAGACAACAGCCCCTCCATTGAGATTTTTCAAGAGTAGCTGCTTTTAGCTATCCATCACCTCGCTGTCTTGCGGAGCCCCGAGCTACGACGTTATACCAGACACCCGCCATGTCAGGTACTACTCGAGCCCTCATCCGTCTGCACGCTCGACCCCTCCAGCGGTCCTGTAAGCCCTGTGGTGCCATCCCTGGACAGCAACGGCACGCCTGAGAGGCTCTCTGATTCGGAGGAGGTTGAGGGTGAGGAAGTAGCAGCCGGGCTAGCGGCCGCCGATGAGCGCTGTGGTGACTACAGGACACGTCGATAAATGGAGCTCCCGTCAGTTCGGGCGCCTCGGGTTCCTTGGGAGCGGTGGTGGCTGCTGATGTGGCGGTGCTGGCTACAGCGGCGGCATGGGGGAAGGCTAGGGTGCTTGCTACAGCGGATGTGCGCTGTTCGGAACCGCCGACTTTACTCGAGACGGTGGGAACGGTTGAGGCGGCGGCGGCGGCGGCGGCCGGGAATTGGAAGTGTCGGGGGGGGTGGCGGTGGCTTTGGCGGGGATTTCGCTGGTGGTGGTGGAGGCGGTGGAGGCGGCGGCAGAAGTGTTGCGGGCTGTGGAGAGAGCAGCAAAGGAGGCGGTGGGGGCAGCGATGGCGACGATGATTTCGCCCGCGGCGGCTGGGCCAACTGGTCCATCCCTTGGTCCCCGGCGGTGAGCCTCAGAACCTTGAGTTCTGCAGACGGGCCCACGATGCCTTGTACCGCCTCCTCTAGCTTGTGCTCAATGACCGCGATGCCACTGTCCGCCACATTGCGGACCGCAGCCACGAGATCGGGCCCATAGCCGCCAGGTAGCCCCACATCAAACCTCACCGCCAGCTGGAGCACCGCGACGGTATCACCACCGCTGCTGCCACCACCGCTGCCGTCGCCACCGCTGCTGCCACCACCGCTGCTGCCACCACCGCTGCTGCCACCACCGCTGCTGCCACCACCGCTGCCGTCGCCACCGCTGCTGCCACCACCGCTGCTGCCACCACCGCTGCTGCCACCACCGCTGCCGTCGCCACCGCTGCTGCCACCACCGCTGCTGCCACCACCGCTGCTGCCACCACCGCTGCCGTCGCCACCGCTGCTGCCACCACCGCTGCTGCCACCACCGCTGCTGCCACCACCGCTGCCGTCGCCGCCGTTGCTGTCACTGTCGTCGACGACCGCTACACTCAAGAGCTGTCGCCGCCTGAGGAAGTGCGCATGGCGACTGGCCAGCGGTGACGGCGGCAGCAACGGGGTTTCGGAGCCCGCGGGGTCCTCTACCCCAGTCACTCCCACGCATTTCGCGCTGAGCAATCTCACAATCTGCATGTCGATGCCGAGGTCACCCAGGGCCGCCTGCATGGCCCCTTCAAATCTTGAGAGAAGCTGGCGGCGTTCCGGAGAGTCGGTATCACGGCAGAGTCCTGACACAGTGGCTGTGGGGCTCTGCGGCCAGTGCACCTGCAGGTGTGACAGCAGCAGCAGCAGCAGCAGCAGCAGCAGCAGTCGCCATGGTTCTTGGGATGACGTTGCGCGTGTACAGGTACGCCATGATGCTGTGTCTAGAGCCGGCATCGCACATACATCTGTTGTGAAAACGTCTTAGCGGAACCGTTGCGAACCGTTGTGAACGGTTGTGAACACGGCTTAGCGGACGTTTGCAAATAGAGAATGCAATTGTGATGCAGGACAGGGAGCATGCACTCGGTGGTACGGAACAAGGCGGGTATCGGCTCGCACAGAAGCATGGCAAGCATGATGCAAATCTGGCCTGAATGATAAGAGGCCATAGGGCGTGCATCCATTCCCCTCAAAACGCCTCAAACGTTAAGAGCTCCCAGTTTCCGTTTCATTCCATTCTTAACTTTGTTGTTACAGAATGGGAGGCTTCTGGGCCACATTCCAGTCTGTAATTATTTATTTTAGGATGGATTGCCTTTACGGGATGTCCGTAAACCTTTTTCAATCCTTTGTTTGAAATGGCGGGCTATAGCTTCCCGGAACATGACCGCATGTGCATGTAACGCGCAAGAAAACATAGCCTGTGCTGCGCACGTCATTAATAACACATTAATGCAAACTTATCGAACCTGCAAGAGCGCCTCGAGGGCCACTGATGAAGCATACGCGGTCGCTGTGGTAGCTGGGCTCTGTGGATTCTGTTCAGGGTGCGGGATTGTGCAGTTAGGGTAGGTTAAGGGAAGGAAAGGTAAGGGAGGGTGCGGTGGACTTAGGTATCCCGCGGTTGGCCGCACGCACCTGGTTTCGGGGCGCACCACAGCTGAGAACGCTACACAGCGGGGCGATGACTGCAACTACCGCAGCCATCGGTAACAAGGTGGCGATCAGGACGAAACATGCCTTGGAACTGAAACCGAAGAATCTCTGAAGCAGGTCGGCGCCGGGAGAGGCAGAACGATACATGGCTTGGCATTGCGACAAGGGTGAGAGCCGGTGAGCAGCTCATAGTTTTGCTAGTCAGGAGCAAGCAGGGCCGGCTGCGGTAACTGCTTCTGTGTTTGTGACCGGGCACTAGCCATTAGCATAGACAGTAGCAGTCGTAGAACAACCTGCCTTTCGGCGCGAGGCCTCCAGCAGCTCAGGTTGCGCCGGGGAAAGGATATTTGAAAACATGGACCCGATGCGACTTAGGGAGGAAGAGCTGAACATACTGGCGCTCAGGGAAAGCCCTGCATGCCTTGCTGGGACAGACAAGCTCCGATGCCGACGCCACGACGTCCCGACGGAGGGATTGGAACTTAGGGATTCTGCCCCGTTTTCCGGTCGAGTAAACAGTGGTGCGGAGGGCGCGGCTGTGTCCATGACGTCAAATGACAAACGATAGAGACGAGCAGTGAACCCTTGGGAACTGTTGCAAAGCGCGATACAGACTCCTACAACAAATCATGCCATCAGGTGAGAGTTTTGTGCAACCTAAATAAATGATTTAGTGCAGGATTTCTTATAACAAGAAAATTCCAGTTTACCTTGCTCTGTATGGATTTCGGAGCTGCCCCGTTCATACCGGCATGCCACAGTAGGCACTAGAATTTGATTCAAAGTCCTTAAAGTCTTTAATAAATTTATATATGTATTATGTATACAAGGCGCCAGTTGACAATGAATTAGTATGTCATCGTGATCGTTACATGGATTTGTATTTTGGGCCCCGAGGGACGAACAACGGGAGCTAAGGGCAACTGCAAGACCACGCACAGCTATAATCCTAGCCTCTTCCCAGCTTCAAACGAAGGAAGAAGTATGTTCAGCAAATCACCATTACTAGTCCATCGTTGTTGCGCCCCTGCTCTGCAAGGGCCGCAGCAAGCCCGCATCTAAGTCAGGATCGTTGCCGAGAACGCTGCCTGACGAAGATATTGAAAACATAAAAGTAACATTGCGGTTTTATTTCTCAAAGCAGTTTTCGAGCTCAAGCAAAATCTTCGTACTATGCAGCGATCAACAAATTTGAAGTGCAGCCCCGAAGGCACAATACCTAATCAAAATCAGTATCAGCGCTTGCTCCTGTGCAGGATCGTAGCGGCCACACACGTGGAGCAACGTAACCGTTTAAGAACGCCCGTCGAAAGTCGCAACCCGTGCAAACTGTATTGCAAGTCGAAGCCAGCACTTTCGGCCCTGTTCCCATATAGAACGCATCATCTCCAGTCGTCTCCTTACCAACGCCAAATCCAAGACTACCCCGGCCACCAACTCAACCCGCCAACAGGAAAGGTCATATGCTTCCGTAAGTAAAGCATGGCCCATAAGCTGCGTGCCCAAACTAAACAAAGTCCGCCTACAATCCCACTAGCAGTAGTGCCGCACACCAAAGCGCAACCATTCCTATTACTGTTGCCGCGCCATCAACCACAGCGCCTCCTTGCAGCTAAACCCTACGCTATGCCAGTACCAGATCACGCTCCCCAACAAAAGCCAATGGTGCATGCAGTCACCTTCGATGTGGTCTCAAAAACCTGAATGTACGGCAAAGCGTATTTCACGGCGCCAATAAGGTGACGCCTACTTCCAATAAGGTGGACGCCCCAAAACAACCCCTTCCGAAGCTGTCCCTCACTTCGTGTCTTGCCGGGTAACCCCGGTCCGCGTTGACCGCCTCTGCGGCAACACACGTACGTACACACGTACATACATACATACATACATACATACACATCAGTGACGCACCGTCGCAGTGCTCCTTGCGCTCTGTTTTCTCGCTCCAAGCAGATCCACATCTCCATTCTGCCCTTGCTACTGCTGCTACAGCCGACATCTGTATCTCGGGCTACGCACATCCGAAACCGGCCGGCCCACATCAGATGATGACACGTCACGCTCGCAGTGTACGTCACAACACGGAGCAACGATGTACGGCATATCACGCAGCCCGTCCCAGAGCCCTCCCCGTAAAAAATGTCTTTGTTACAATCATTCCCGTCCCCAGATGCACCATGTTTCGTACCATGTTGGATTCCTTTCGACCCTGTTCGATTCCCACACGACTCTAAACGCCTCGCTTACCACACGCATTCTACGCAGAATGGGTCGCGCCTGCAGCGAAAAAAGGTTGCACTTCATGGCTTCATTGATTCACGCGCCGGGTAGCCATGGAAGCCTACAGCCATGATGGCACTGCGCGCATTTAGCGAAGCTACGCGCCCTCCCAGCGCATCCAGCAGTCGGTACAAATGGCAGCCGTTGACCCTAAGTTGACCAGCCTGCTGCTTTCAAAGCTGAGCCTCCCCAGGGCACCCTCCGCTCAACCTTAATACTATTACAAGTGATGCAAGAATGCCTCTCATTATGATTGTATTTGCGAACAAATAGTATCGAGAATTATCTAGCATTTAGCGGCTGAGAAGGAGGCCCCCACATGCCTGCACATGCCTGTCTGCCCTGCCTGCCCATGCTGCCGTCACGAAGGTCGACCCCCTTCGCTCCAAATTGCCGGGAACCCAAGGAGGTTTGTGGAGATGCAATGATGATCCTGACGTATGCAACCTAAAGACACCCTGGCGGATCAGGGAAATCGCCTTCATTGGCTCGGGCTCCTAGGGCGCCAGGACCGGGGCCCACCACTGCTGATGTGGCGGTGCTGGCTACAGCGGCGGCATGGGGGAAGGCTAGGGTGCTTGCTACAGCGGATGTGCGCTGTTCGGAACCGCCGACTTTACTCGAGACGGTGGGAACGGTTGAGGCGGCGGCGGCGGCGGCCGGGAATTGGAAGTGGCGGGGGGGGTGGAGGTGGCTTTGGCGGGGATTTCGCTGGTGGTGGAGGCGGTGGAGGCGGCGGTGGTGGAGGGGGAGGTGGCGGCAATGGCGGCGACGGGGATATCGGCGGTGGTGGTGGCGGTGGCGATGGGGATGGCGGTGGCGGTGGCGATGGCGGTGGCGATGGCGGTGGCGGTGGCGGTGGCGGTGACAAAGTCAGGTTGACAGGCTTAATCTCCACTACGTTCAGCTCAAGCCCAGCGGATGAGTTCGCGATATTCTGGACCGTTCTCTGAAGCACATTCTCAATGACGGGCCGGCTGTCTTTATCGACTGAATATGTGCCATTCACGAGAGCGGCCTGAATCGCCCCCAGCTGCTCTTCCGCAGCTCCGGGGCATGTCACATTAAACCGCATCGTCATGCTAAGCACCGCCTTATCGCCGCCGACGCCGCCGCCGCCGCTGCCGAAGTCTGTCGCCGTCACAAGCGCCCGATGCCGGCGCGAGGAAAGCTGCCCAGAGTCCCCTGGCGGTGATGGCATTGGAGAGGTTTCGGAGCACGATGGAAAGGAGGCCCCGGGTACTTGGGCGCAATCCACCCTACCCACTTTGACAGCAGCTGCATCGGCACCAACTTGCTTCAGGATCTTCCCCATTGCTTCTTCCAGTTCTGAGAGGCGCCCCGGCGAATTGGTATCACGGCACAGTCTGCATACGCAAGCTGAGCTGTTTGCCGTCAAGTTCACCTGCAGGTACGGAAGCAGCAGTCGCCATGCCACCTTGAATGACTCTGCTCGCACAACTGTGGCAAACAAGTGTGTGCGGGTATTGCACGTTAGAAGATAAGCAAAAACCTAGGCGGTGCTTGCAATGTGCGAGAGACAGCGCTGCCGCCTTGTTGCAGGGAGGAAATAGGAATGTCGTACAGTCGTACGGGCAGTACACCACGAGTGCTGCGAGCTTTCCCAAAAACATTTCTGACTCTTCGACTCTTCTAGACCTTGCATGACGCACATGGTGACACGTAGAAGCTATTCGCGCAATGTTGAACGCCAGGGCGCGCCCCGGATGGGGTCCCGGTGGTACGGCATCCCATCATATTCCTATTACCAGGAAGAAGAAGCTGCTATCTATACCAATGCCGCTGCTGCCAACATCGCCAGCATCGCCAACGTGGAAAATGCAAATCACTGTGAACGACACCCCCATGCCAGAAACCCAGCAAACCCTACAAACCCACACAGACACACATACACACACGTGAACTTTCTATCTATTTCTCACTTCTAGGACACATACATTCCAACGGCGGCCCCCACCCGCAATTGCGCCTCAAAGGCCAGCACTGTCGTGGCATCGCTGTTGGGGTTGGCCGTCGCCACAGGACCCGGTTTAGCTGCCTGGGGTGGGGAATGTCGAGGTCCATATGGTTTCAGCAGGTCGGTAAGGTCAGTCAGGAGACAACGCCTCCATGCCTTTTCCGGGCAATTCTTGACTTGCACACGCACATATACATATGTACACACACGGACGGACATACATAGATACTAGGGTTTGGCACTACTGGTAACGCGCGACCATTGCCCCCCGGGAGATCCCGAAATCGATACCCAATAGGGTCAAAAATCTTTCCGATGGTGGAAGGTATTGCGCCCCTAGTTGATGGACAGGATAAAGTTAACCTGCGAGCCAACCAGGAACGGAGTTGGGCCGCTGTCGTCCCGGCAGATTCCGTTGGATGCTGGTGGTGGGTGCGGAACCTGAGCGATCCACTGAGAAGTTGACTAGGGTGACTGGATGAGGGTGCCCCGAAATACCGGGGAAGGCAGGGTTTCGCAGGGTAGCTGCCACGGGCGAAGATACACCCCCCTGTTTCATACATCGTAGTAGATATACACATAGACACACAGACATCGATACATACACGGTCATGCAGCGAAGTGCGCAAGGAGCCACGGAGATCATGGAAGGTTGCGGCGTAACGAGGGATTCCCGGGAGAGACCCGAGTACACCTGGACCGATTCGGTGTTGCGACGGTGCTTGGAAGTCCCCCGATCGAGTCCACGTCTCCTTGTCCAGTGCTTACGCACAAATAGTAGTTGTAAGGAGCAAAGGGTTTCTGCTCCAGGGAAAGGGTTAGAGCTGGGTGGCTAGCAAGCAGCGTTTGCTACTTAGGTTGGAATAAATTGAGAAACGCCCTAAACGACAAGTCGGGTGTCGGCTTCCTCGAAGCCGGAAAAAGGGCGGGCCCCACCTGCATCCGTACAGGCCGGTAGCTAGCACGGCACGTGTGACAATTGATGGGTAGTGTCACTGCGGTGGGAGATGTGCTTTGTTGCAGCAGTACTGATGGTGTGGGAGCTAAGCTTGCACCGGCGGAATCGTCAGCACCGCCTGCGGGCTCCACGCGAATCGCATCCATCCCGGGTGCATGCTGCATGGACAGTGCGGCAGACCGCAAGTCGGAATGCCCGTGCGGGCAAATTGGTAACGCAAGCTGAGTGAAGTTCGGTGCTGTCTGTGATGTTTATCCCCGAAGCGCCAGCGGCCTCAGCAATCCGCCCCACAGCCGCGAGCTTCATCGCGGCACACCGCAAGTCTTCGGAGGCCCCGTGCATTGGCCAAAGTAAATGTACAAACAAGCAGCTTGTGTATTTCATATAGAAATGAAAGCAAATTTGTTGGCCTGCTGGTGGCATGTCGGATTGCTCATGCCGGCAAATGGTAACACAAGCTGGGTGTTCGAGTTATCATACGCCGTCATCTCAGAATTCCATTATGAGATACGCGGCAGCTTTCGGGATGAAATTTAGCGCGAGAGGCGTTGATGTGACTTTTGAGGTCGGTGAATGGAGGCAGCTAAACTTATTTTTGCTCATACGGTCTTTGTTAGCTACATGCGAGATACCTTGCAGTAGAGAATGCTGTATAGTACCGATAACGCGTTTCAGCCGGGTGAAATATTATGTTTGATCCGTTACACACTCAAGGCATGGGAGTTCGAGTTATCATACGCCGTCATCTAAGAATTCAAATATGAGATACGCGGTACCTTTCGGGATGAAATTTAGCGCGAGAGGCGTTGATGTGACTTTGGCCTCGGTCAATTGAGGCAGCCAAACTTGTTTGTGCTCATACGATTTTTGTTGGCTACATGCGAGATACCTTGCAATAGAGAATGCTGTATAGTACCTACAACGCGTTTCAGCCGGGCGAGATATTATGTTTGGTCCGTTACACACACACACACACACGGACATGGGCAATCCTACAGGTCGGGGCCCCCTGGGGCGCTTCGCGCTGGGGCCCCGCCCAAAAAAAAATCACTGCTAGCAAGCAGTTGCTCAACCCACCTGGTGCCGGGGCATCGCGCAACCGAAGACGCTGCAGATTGGGACGACGACTGCCACCACCACTATCATGGCCAGTGTGATGGCGATGAGGATGAGGCAGGCGATCGAGCCCACGCGTCTCTGGAGGCAGAGGAGAGGGACGCCGATGGGGCATTTGTTGCACATCATAGGTATGGAATAAGATAGAGGCTATGGAGCGGCAGGAAGGGTGGATCATGGTCTTAGGAGGGGTGGATCCCCAAAACGTGCCGGTGCTTTGGGAGGTGGCTATGATGCACTGTGGTTTGACCTGGGCGGTCGCAGGTTAGGTGTTAAGGTGGGGGGGAGGTGTACAGCCACGTGAGGTGATGTCCACGAGCCGGGTGTGTCTCCTCTCTGGCTGCTGCGGGTGCGGTGCTGGCATGGCCGGGCGCAAGCTGGGCAGCGCTGGGCTGCGCGAGCCTCATCATCGTCATCATCATCGCCATCGTCATCATCATCATCGTCATCATCATCAGCATCATCAGCATCATCATCAGCAGCGGCATTCGTACTTCATCCGTTTTAGCATTGGTAATACTGGCATAACGGTTGTTATCATGTTTTTGTGCTGGAGGTAGAGACAGTAGCAAAATCACCTGCCTTTTGCGAGGCATCCAGCGACTCACGAGCAGCAGGGGAAAAAATATCAGTGAGGATTGATCCCATACGCTCTAGAGATGAGGCGGTGAACAAGGTTTTCGGCATTTGGACTGGTTGACATGAATCTGATATCGAAGCATCCGGTCCTGGATGTTCATGCGACCGCATCTTGGAAGCAGGCGTAGAATTTGGTGATCCTGACCAATTTGTAGAAATAAGCGATTGTTGCGTTGAGGGCGCGGCGGTATCCATGGAATCAAGGGGCAAAGCGGTGCGACCGCTGCAAAGTGGTGTTCGAGTTCCCATGGTAAATAACACGCAAACGTGCAGCCATAAA